CTCTTTGGTTAAGTTTATTTCTAAGTATTTTGTTGTTTTTGATGCAATGGAAATGTTTATGCTAGTTAAAAATTCTGGTTTTTGAAGTGAAAAGAAGAGGAAAAAAAGTGAATGAAGGGCCACAAATGGCAAAATATCCTTTTTTATGGGTGAGTTATATTCCATTACATATATATGCAGCAACTTCTTTATCCATTCATCTATTGATGTGCACTTAGGATGCTTCCATATCTTGGCAATTATAAAGAATGTTGCTGTTAATAGTGGGGTGGATGTATCTTTAGTTATCAAAGGAATAAAGCCAACCACAAACTAAGTTTAAAAAGCTAAATCTCTAAACGTTCTTAGAAACAATGAACAGTACATATATGTACATTTTAAAAATATGGGCAGCATAGTGTGTATATGTATTTACAGGCAATATACTGTGTATGTGCAGTCAAACTGTAACAATTCTACATAATAAAACTGAAAAATGGAAAAAAAAATGAAAAATTTGAAAAATGTTAAGAGACACTGACAACCAAGAAAGCCTAACAATCTAGTAAGTTTTCTGGAAGGAAAGGAGACAGATAATGGGTCAGTGGCAATACATGTAGAGAAAACAGGTTAAGAATTTTCTGAGCCATAGATTTGAGAAGCTCCTTAAATCTGAAGCAAAATAAATAAATAAATAAATTCATACCTAAATATATGTGAAGCTATGTAACACCAAAAACAGAGGTATGATTTCAAAAGCCTCTTGAGAAAAAGGGAATTACTATCCAAGAAACTAAGATTAGATTCACAGCAGAAGACAATGGAATTACACTTTGTGCTTAAAAAAGAAAAAAAAAACTTTCAGTGTAGAATTTTATATCCAGTAAATACATCTTTAAGATTTAGAGCAAAATATTTACAGACAAATCAAGTGTTCCACTAGATAAGCCTCATTAAAAGAAATGTCCTCTGGAAGAAAGAGATCCCAGAGGGGAGAAAAGAAATGCAAGAAAGGATGAAAAGCAATGCAAACAGAAAATATGTGGGGTAATTCTAAACAAACATTAACAGTTTAAATTCATAATAGTTATTGTATCTTGAAGAGTTTAAAAAACAAGACAATTAAGATA